CGCGAACGCAATGAGCTCGCTGAGGCTGTCGTGGTCCGCGCTCTTGGCCACCCACTTGGCTGCCCACTCGTCGTTCGCAATCTCATTCTTGATGGAATCCGAAAGCTTCTCGACCTCGTCCTTGTAGTGGTCGCGGACCTTAGTGCCCAACGTGGTGACCATCGCGTTCGTGTTCGTCATGATCAGAGCAGCCTTGGAGACGAACTCGGTGCCGTACTCCGATATGAGGTCGTCGCCCACCTTGTTGTTCTCAACGCGCTGCTTCGCTTGGGTAATCTCCCTCGCGATCTTGTCCAACTCGGCCGTGGAGGGAGTGTGCTCCTGACCGTCCGACGTATTCGCCTTCGCATCCGCCGTCCGAGTCACGCAGCATAGCCTCCACATCGCCTTCAACCACGTGCTGAGCCTCACGCAGTTCTTGCGCTTCTCCTCGGGGACGTGTGGCGCAACGAGCTCGAGCGCGTCAAACACCGTAGAATCACTGTCGCCACCGAACGTGGGGGAAGACATCACATCCTTCGCGATCTTGTCAACAAGCTTGTCTGCTGCTGCCTGGACCTTATCGCCAAGCGGGTTGGGCTTGCAAGCCGTGAAAGCGTCGCGCATCCGATGGGTCGGCTCGGAACCGTCGGACGTCCAACTCCCGATCGAATCCACCAACATAGAAATCTTGTAGTCAAAATCCATGTTTCCAAGAGCCTCCTGGATGCTAGCCGCCATCTGGCGTAGCTCCACGTCGGTAGGGAAAATGGCCACCAGAATCTTGAACAAGTCCCTCACGTGATGGAGGAGCACCGTTTTCGAATCCCCCTCTGTCTTCGAATCCTGCTGCTTGAGCTTCCTGCTCTTGCCGAGGACGTCGGTGCAAGCATCAATTGCCTTCTTGCGCAATTCGCATCTGAGTCTGTCGCACACTGTATCTGACACCTTGTTCTCCCAATAGGGAATCTGCTCGGCGATGTTAGTGAGATCCTTGATCGAAGACTCCGTTGCAGAACCGACGATTTTCGTCACCTTCAGGAAGCTCTGGTGGATCGCAGGGCCGAACTCGAGCATCTGTTTGCCGACGGCCGCGGCCTGCTGGTACTTCTCCTTCCAGAAGGACGCGGCAGGGGAGTGAATGGTCGAAGCCACGATCTGCATGGGCGATGGGGCCCCCGTCGTCCTGAACGCCTGCTCCTCGAACCGCGGCATCTCGTTGAACACTTCGAGGTCGGTGTCCAACCCCATGTCCTTGATCATGAAGCCCCTCACAATGCGCATCGTCGTCTTGGCCTCGAGGAGCACCGCGGCGCAATCATCCGACATGGACGCTTCCTCCGGAATCTCGCCCCAGAATGTCTCTGCGGTGGCAGCGAACTCCTGTACGTATTTCTCCATCCCAGGGCCCTGGGTGAACCACATCGCGAAGCCAGTCTGGAAGATGAACTTGGTGAAGAAGACAATCATCTCCTCCGAAGTGAGGCCACACCCGTCCAAGGTAGGCAAGGTGACCTCAAACGCCGCGCCGTCCGTCCAGAGCCTCGTGCAAGTCAGCAGGCTGGTGATCAAGGAAGACACCCTCGTGAAGTCATCACACTTGATGATATCCTCCCATATCTTCTTGACGCGGCGTGAAACGAGACTCTTGGCCAGGCTCGGGGTGGGCTGCATACCCTTCATCTTGAACGGCCCCCAGTTGAGCTTGATCTCAGCATCGCTCAAGTTGGCGTTGTTATGCAGCAACTTTGCCTTTGTCACCAGCTCGAAGTGGGTCTCTAGGACACGCCGATCCTCTGGCTGCAGCTTGCCCAGCAGTAGCTTCCCCTGGCTCTCCTGCTTGCCAAGCTTGACCCCGTCGAAGAATGATGACAGCGGCATCTCGTGGATCCAGTACTCAGGCGTGCCGACCTTGAAAGGGTTCTGAGAGACGAGCTCCTCGTGTGTCGTCTTCTGTTTCTTGGGATCGCTGGGGGGGCCCATCAGCGCGCCGCTCGCACTTCCGACGGACGAAGGCCGCTTCTGTGCATCCCCCTTCACGGGCGTGGCATAAGAGCCACTGAAACCAGACGCGCTCCCAGCAGGTCCACCGACCGCGCTCGCAGCACACGAAGCGGCAGCCTCAGTTTCGGGACGTTCCCCGTCTAATGACTCGATCTCTGCCGACTCGTCGGGATCCTCCACATTATCAGATGAGGGCCCGCCCCACCTGCCCCTGGACTTGGCAAGCAACCTCTCTGAGCGGCCCCTCAAGCCAGCCACCGTCGGGACGTAAGGGAACGGGTTGAACCAGTTCTCGCCGTCGATCCCGACCTGGTCGGTCCTCGTCATCTCCTGGTGCAAAAGCCACTCCTGGCCGTGCACGGCCCTCTTGGTGATGCCGTTCTTGGAAATGGACTCGGCCACGTTGGAGCCCATGCGGGCGAAGATCTTGACAGTGGGGTACTTCGCCACAAACTCGGGGGTCCGCTCCACCGCGTAGAAGATGTAGGGACCACCGCGGCCTGGGACCAGGCCAGGCTTGAGGCCCAAGGCCTTTGGAGTCTTCCCGAACTCGCGCTGGATGTCATTGTGCGACAGACCACACACCTTCCAATACATCTCCTGTCCGATGGCGGTGTCCCTGTACACATCCAGCGTGTTATTGTTGGCTTGCGTGGTGCTGGCGGCTGGGCCCCCTGTACCAGAAGCGGCCGCGGCGTGAGCGCGCGCGGCCTCGGAGACATGTTCTTTGAACTTCGCGTCCTTCTGCGCGGCCTTCACTACGACCTCAAGCGTCATGCCGCACATGTTGCCGACCACCCACTTGATGCACGTGATGCAGCCCACGACGTTGCCGACCATCTCGCGGCTGATGTCGGCGTGTACATCTGAGTCGTACAAGGTGCACTCCTGGCGGGGCGGACAGAGTTTAGTGCGCCCTCACTGTGCCCACCGATCAGAAACGCCGAATGATACCAGCGTCGACTCCAAACACACAGGCCACAAGCCACAAGCCCTGTGACTGGAAACCTACATAAAAAAACAAACTGGATATTCACGGGATCTTTTGCTCTGGGGCACAGGCTACTACCCGGTAAGACTGCGCAATATCTTCGTTTTCTGCTTGTGATGTGCCAGGTTTGCGCCTCCCGAAGCCACGCACCTTCGCAATGTGCACACGATGCACGCCCCCGCGGCCACGAACCCGTAGAAATGCGTTGGAGGAGGCGCGGTGATCCCCGCCCCCCGCCCCTCAGAACTCAGACGGGGGTCGGGGAGGGCTCGCCCTGAGGGCTCACACTGGAACGCCTTTACGTCCCGCGGGGGCACCCTGGGAGGCTCAACCAAGCTCCAATATCCAAAAGCTCTCCAGGGACAAACATATGTACAGATGTATGGATGAAGCTATGAACTATGTACGTACCAACTTATGCATATCGTACTGCGTCATGTAATACCGTATGCGCATGCAGACACCTGATACCGCACAGTTGCATATACATATGCCTATACTTATAAAATAAGGCCTGCGGCCCCGAAATCCTCGAGCCTCGGGGTCTGGCGGGCGGGGGGAGGGAAGGCCGAAGGCCCGCGAAGCGTGGGGGGACCAAAGGGGAAGGCGTGGTCGGGGAGGGCCTGAGGGAACCAACCTGGCCGCTTGGCCATGCCGCTGACGGGCACGGCCGAGCGGCAAGGTCGGGTCGGTTCCCTTCCCTCCTTCGGCCCCCTTCTCCCAAGTTCCCCGATTGGGGGCGTGGCGCATGAACCGCGTGGCCATAGCCAGAACCCGATGGGGGGGGCAGAGCGCATTCGACGACTCTCATTGCCCCCTCTCCCCTGCCCACGGGAGGTGCTCGCTGAGCTGAGCGATAAGGGAACGCATAGGGAGGTCGCCAGATCAACCGAGAGGTTGGCTTGGGCTTTGGGCCCTCAATGGCGGAAACACCCCCACATCAACAACTCACCTCCAAGATGGCAATGATGGCTTCCAAGGCGGTATGAGACGGCCCAGGGCGGCCACACACGGCCCCGAAGACGGCCCGAGAGGGCCCCAACAGACATCCAAGACGGCCCAAGATGGCATCAAGCAAGACGGCCCAATATGGCCCCAGGACGGCCTGAGAGGCACCCAACATGGAAAACGAAGATGATGCTGAGGTTGATGAGGCTGACGCTGAGGAGGAGGCCGATGAGGCAGGTGCCAATGAGGAGGAGGCTGGAGAGGAGGAAGAGGCTGATGAGGAGGCTGCTCCTGAGTAGGCTGATGAGGAGGAGGCTGAGGAGGAGACTCATGAGGAGGAGGAGGGTGATGATGAGGATGCAGCGTAGGAGGCTGACGAGGAGGATGCTGAGGAGGCGGAGGCTGATGAAACGGAGGAGGGCGAGGAGGCTGCTGAGGAGGATGATGCGGACGAGGAGGGCGCCTATGATAAGGAGGATGGTGAGGAGGCTGATGAGATGGATGCTGAGGAGGATGCTGATTAGGATGAGTCTGAGAAGATGGAGGGCGAGGCTGGGGATGAGGAGGCAGACGATGAGGCTGCCGAAGATGACGGGGCCGATGATGAGGAGGAGGCCGATAGGCAGGCTCATGATGAGGAGGCTGACGATGAGGGTGCCAAGTGGGAGCCTGATGGGGAGGGCGCTGAGGAGGATGAGCCGAGGAAGAGGAGGCTGATGAGGAGGCTTCTTACTCGGGAGCTGGTGGGCCCTGGAATGGCTCTGACTGGGGCCGCCCTCGGAACAGCGCCCGAATGCGCGAACGAAAGCTAGACGACCTCACGCTACACTGATGCACGCGGCCAGCTAATTGGCACGGGAATGTAGACGGCCGCCGAACGAGGCAGCTGGCCGCCGAGCGCAATGGCCGCCGACGAAAAGTGGCCGCCGAAAGTGCACCGCTTCACCATGGCGAGCTGGCGGGCGGTCTCAAACGCCACGGTTGTACCACTGCCTGTCCGTCTGGCCGAACTCGTTGGCGCCCTCGTCGGCCTAGTTGTGGGTCAGCGGCGCGTTCAGGCCATGCAGCCGCTGCTGGCACGAGCTGCACCAGAACTCCTCCGCAGTGAACTGGCTGAACGGGTACTGCTTGCCGTTAGCGAGGGAGCCCAGGTTCGTGGCGACGCGCATGCCGCACTTGTTGCACTCAGCTCGGCGCCCTGCTGGCGACTCCAGAGAAAAGGCGCCAGGGTCCCTCTTGTAGCTGCGCACCAAGATGACCGTGTCCTTGGTGGCCACCCGCACCTGCCTCTTCAACTTGTGGCCTGCGCCCACGCCGTCCTCGTGGCCGCCCAGCTCCTCCTGGTTGGGCTGCAAGCTCATCCTCGAGAAGTGGCGCGTCGGTGTCCTCGTAGGCGTAGGTGTCCCATCAACGCCTCTGGAGCCCGAAGCGTCCGACCGAGCGGCCTTCGACGGCGTTGCCGCTGGACGAGCTGCTGCTGGACGAGCTGCTGCGCATCTGGACGAGCTGCTGCTGGACGACGAGCTGCTGCTTGACGAGCTGGACGAGCTGCGGCGCCTCTTCTTACTCTTCCTCTTCGCCGCTTTGGCCGCCTTGGCGGCCCTCCTGGCGGCCTTCGCGTCCTGCGTCTTCGCGCCCTCCTTCGCCGCGTGGTCCTTGCCCTTCGACTTCGAACTCGCGGGGCCCGCGGGGTCGTCCGCCCCAGAGATCCCGCTGGCCTTCCGCGACTGGTTGATCCACTCGCGGAAGTCTTTGAGCGCTGCCCTCGGCCTACCGCCGTCGATCTCAGGGTTGAAGGTGTTGATGAAGCCCCAGTCGATGATCCTGTCGATGGAGCTCTGCAGGTTGTGCTCGATCATCTGGATCTGCAAGAAGTTCGCCACGAGGCGGCGGTAGCGCTTGGCGGTGTCCACTGCCTTGCGCCCCATGTTCCATTGCTGGAAGTCCTTCATGAGCTGGTCCGCCATTCCTGCGCCTCCGAGCCGACCGCGCGGGGCCGAGCCGAGCCGCCTCAAGCGGCCTCGAAAACGCCCCGTGCCGAGGCGCCTCTCACGCGCCTGCAAGCTGGTCGCTTGAACCAGCCTGGCTCTCGAGCGCGGGGGGGGGGCAGCAGCAAAGGCAGAAGTAGGAGAGGAGGACAACCCACCGAGATTGCCCAGGACCTGGAAGACCTGGGAGCCAGACAGCCAGACAAGCCAGGGGAGCCCAAGGCCCAGGTGCCCAGGGGCTCTCCGGTAAGCCCAAGAGGGCCAAGTCAGACGGGGGAAGAGGCGACGGCTACGACGACGCCGACGGCGACGGGCGCGCCGCGTCTGGATTTCTCCAAATCTTGGTCAGGACTCTCTGTCTGGGGTTGAGGCTCCCTCGGGTTCCAGTGCTCCATGGGCTCAATATGGCATCTCAGGGCCGAGGGGTTCACAGTGTCTGGGGTTGTTGACGCTCTCGTGGGCTCAAGAGGGTTTCAGAGCATCTCCTGGCCTTGTTGGGCCGAGGAGCCAACGGTGTCTTGGGATGAGGCTCTCACGGGTTCCAGGGCTCCATGGGCACAGGGCCCCCCAGGGACTAAGTGACTAGGTCGCGGTGCTCGGGGTTGAGGCTCCCACGGGCTCCAGGATTCCATGGGCTCAGGGCATCTCATGGCCTAGGGATTCACGGTGTCTCGGGGTGGGGCCCCACCTGTTCCAGGGTTCCATGGGCTCAGGGCCGTTTAGGGCATAGAGCCTAGGGGGCCCCGTGGCGCCTGGGGTTTGGGGCTCTCCCATCACATCCACGAAGAGATCCAGCCGTCATGCACAAGTCGGCGCTCTGACCAGGATGTCGAAGCATATCCAGCCGTGGTGCACATATCGGCCCTATGCCCAGCGAGGCCAGTGAGCACTGGAACTCTGGAGCCCATAGTGAATCCACGATGGCCCAAGATGGTTCTCAGCTGGATCGAAGATCCAAGATGATGCCTGATCAGATGCACCCATGTCGCATGGCCCAGGGTGGTTCCAACATGATTTCACGCGGCCCAAGATGGCTTCCAGAAGACGCCGCGCCGCCCACAGCTCAAGATGCCCCCCCCCCACAGTGGCCTTCAATATTACCTATAACCCAGATGGGGAGCGACGACGACGAGGACGAATGAGAGGGAGGGGAAGAGAGATGAGAGTTAGGGGGCGGTACTCGTAACAGAGAGGGAATAATATTGGAGCGACGTAAGCAGTCACGGAGAGCATGATGAGGATAACGAGGTAAGACATGATTGGAAGGAAGGGAGGAAGACAGCGCCCCAAGGCCCTGGTGGGGGAGGGGCCACGTACTTGACCAGAACGTCAACGGGCTTCTTATCATGCTGGTGGCTGGGGAACACCGCGGATTTGGCAAGAACTCCTATAGGCTCAGCATCATTATCCTCCCTTCCCCTTGTTTGCCCCCAGAAGGCTCCCGCTCGTTCACGCCGCAGAGCTGGCACTCGCGGAGCTGGCCGCCGCCTCTGCCTCTGCCACCGCCAGCGGGCCTGCCAGGTTTCTTCGCGCCTCGGCCCCCCTTGCCGCCACCTCTTGATGAACCCCCTGCCGACGAAGCTGGGTACTTCGAACACGACATGGCTGGTTGCTGGTGGCTGGAAGGGAATGCACAGAAGCGGCCTCCGCGCGATGCTAGTTGCTAGTAGGTAGAAGGTAGGCGGAGTCGGCGCCGCAAGCGGCACCACTCGATAGCAGCTGACGCCTTGGGCCCGATAAAAGGCTCCTGTTGAAGTGCGGGCCCCAATAGGCGATCCCGCTTGCTGCAGAGAGTCCAAGAAACATCGTTGCAGCGCGGACACCGATCAGCACACGATAGTATAACACAGCCCACAGTTCATAGTTACCCAAACAATGCTTGCTCTTACACGCCTCACTTGGGGTCCACATAATCGAACCGCATGAGAAGACAGGTGCTCAATATATCCTACGTACCTAAGGTAGTCCACATTTAAAATGCAACAGGCATCGGGGCCCCGGTCCTCGGTAGACGCCCCGTGCGCCCTAGTTCCCCAAGATACCTAACGCATAACACCCAGAAGCCGCGCAATCTATTGTATATACCGAGAACACCAGAAAGACGTTAGTTTGCAGGCCAACATGGCGACTCTTCCATTGTGGACAATACAGAAGTCTCAGAGAGCGCGCGCTTGTGGACAATACAGACCTCCGCACGCGCGCGCGCGCGTGCGGAATTCTGTATTCTCCACAATAGAACCGTCGGCGCGTCCGTCGGCCTCCTTAAGGGTTCACAGAAATTTCGAAGTCAGTTGTTGGAATTACATGTCGACCTTTCTATTGCGGACAATCAATGCAGAACTCCGCACGCGCGCGCGCGCGCGCGCGCATGGGGAGTTCTGCATTGTCCACAATACAAAAGTCGGCGCGTCCGTCGGCCTCCCTAAGGATTTACAGAAATGTTGAATTCAGTTCTTGGAAGTGCATGTCGACCTTCCTATTGTGCACAACACAGAACTCCGCACGCGCGCGCGCGCGCGCGTGGTGAGTTCTGTATTGTCCACAATACAAAAGTCGGCGCGTCCGTCGTCCTCCTTAAGGGTTCACAGAAATGTTGAATTCAGTTTTTGGAATTACATGTCGACCGTTCTATTGTGTGTTGTGGACAACACAGAGCTCCGCGCACGCGCGCGCGCGCGCGTGGATCTCTGTGTTGTCCACAGCATAAAAGACGGCGCGTCCGTCGGCCTCATTAAGGGTCAACAGAAAGTTTGACTTCAGTTTTTGGAATTACATGTCGACTTTTCTATTGTGGACAACACAGAACTCCGCACGCGCGCGCACGCGAACGCGCGCGCGCGGGGAGTTCTGTATTGTTCACAATACAAAAGTCGGCGCGTCCGTTGGCCTCTTGAAGGGTTCAGAAAAACTCTTGAATTCAGTCCTTGGAATTACATGTCGCCCTTTCCATTGTGGACAACACAGAACTCCGCGCGCGTGGGGAGTTCTGTATTGTCCACAATAGAAAAGTCGGCGCGTCCGTCTGCCTCCTTAAAGGTTCACAGAACTTTTGAATTCAGTTTTTGGAATTACATGTCGACCTTTGTATTGTGGACAACACAGAACTCCGCGCACGCGCGCGCGCGCGCGTGGGGAGATCTGTATTGTTCACGATACAAAAGTCGGCGCGTCCGTTGGCCTCTTGAAGGGTTCAGAAAAACTCTTGAATTCAGTCCTTGGAATTACATGTCGACCTTTCTATTGTGGACAACACAGAACTCCGCACGCGCGCGCGCGCACGCGTGAGGAGTTCTGTATGGTCCACAATACAAAAGTCGGCGCGTCCGTCGGCCTCCTTGAGGGCCCACAGTACGTGTGAATTCAATTTTGGGAATTACATGTCGACCTTCCTATTGTGGACAACACAGAACTCCGCACACGCGCGCGCGCGCGCGTGGGGAGTTCTGTATTGTCCACAATAGAAAAGTCGGCGCGTCCGTCGGCCTCCTTAAAGGTTCACAGGAATTTTGAATTCAGCTTGTTGGAATTACATGTCGGCCTTTGTATTCTGAACAATACAGAACTCCGCACGCGCGCGCGCGCGCGCGGGGTTCTCTATTGTCGACAATAGAAAAATCGGCGCGGTCGTCTGGCTCCTTAACATGTGAATTCAGTTTTTGGAATCACATGTCGACTCTTCCTTTGTGGACAACACAGAACTCCGCACGCGCGCGCGCAATTTATTGTATATACCGAGAACACCAAACGAACCCGAACGGCGCAATATACCCAATACACCAAATGCACCCAAAACACAAAAGACAGCAAAGTTGCCAAGGGCCTGGAAGTTATTCATACCAGGCCAGGCCAAACATAAGCTCACGCCCCGCAGGTTCCCCCCGTGGGTTCCCGCCCCATGGGTTCCCGTCGCATAGATTCCTGCCCAATACGCTCCTGCCCCATAAGTTCCCACCCCATGGGTTCCCGCCCCATGAGTTCCCGCCCCAATGGTTCCCGCCCCATGAGCTACCGCCCTGAAAGCTCCCGCCCCACAGGTTCCCGCCCCGTTGGTTCCCGCCCCGCGGTTCCAACGCGCGTGGACGGGCAAGACCAGGCGTCGTCACGCACGTCCACCCGCCGTCATGCACGTCCGCGGGGGCCGATGGCGATGCGAGGCCCCGCCCCGCCGCCCTTCATCAACGCCCGCACCCTCACGCTCGCTGGCGCGGGCGCCGCCCGCTGGTCGGCACTGCAACCCGAGGCGCGTCGTCCGCGCCTCGTCAGCACATCGCATCGGGGCGTGCATGTCGCGACCTGGCTTCCGCCAAAGGCTAGCCGCTGGCCGCTTGCCGCTGGCCGCTAGCCGCCAGCCGCCAGATTCGTCTGGGGGCTGGCGCGCGGCCCGCGCCCCAGCCGATGCGGAACGACCGCGCAGCTACTCTCGCGCGGGTTCGGCCCCGCGGCCACGACAGCTGGCGCGTCGCAAACGCGCCGCATTGATTGTCGGGGCCGCTCCAACAAATATATTCGGCACGACGGGTGGCCCGCGGGTGCGCGGCCCGAGAGAACGCAGAACCGATGCGTCGCCAACGCGCCGCATTCAATTTCGGGCCCGTCCCGAATCAGGAAATCGCCGACATACATCAGTGCACTGCGGTCGCGCCGTCGCCTCCATGTGGGGGGCTGGCTGGCATGAACAAAGACCGATGCGTCGCCAAACCGCCGCATTACATTCCGATACCACCTCGAGACGAAAAAATGTCTGACCGTCAAGGGCGCGGCGGTCGATCGATCGTTCCAACAGGGGCGCGGCCCGACCTTACCCATAACGGGTGCGCCCATAATGAGCAGTAATAAAATTGCGTTCGAGGGCGGTGCGCGAAATCGGGGGGGGGGGGGGGGGGGGGGTAGATTGCGAAAATTTCAGAAATTTCGCCCCCCAGCGCCCTGCTGCTGCGTTGCAACGGCATGTACCGCGGCGCGCAGTGGCACAAGAAACTCGAAGGAA